ACACTGATTTGTCAGTGTTTGTAATTTTTGCTACACTATTCTCTGACAGCAAAAGCTCACTCTGGGAGTCAGATCCAAAGATGAAGAGGGCGTGGCAAGGAGCCTGGAACTAGAGACCACGTGGGCAATGAATGCTCTCTCTTTGCGAGACAGTCCAATCCCTCTGGAAGTTTCACCCTGTGCAAAGATGCCAATAAATGGCATCTTGAGCAAATGTTTCCTCTGTTGAGTGTCTGTGCCTCACTTTGGTGGGGAATGCAGGCACCAGTACTCACTGCTTGTGGTTGGTTGACCTCGTCTGGGCAGAGAGAGAAAATAAGGACCAAAGACTTGTGGGGAGAGACAAGAACAGAGAGATTGCTCAGGCTCATCTGAGGGAAGCATATTTAATTTGCTATCAATCGAATCAGAGTGGGATAATGAAAAATAAAACCAATTTTCTTAAAATATCTTCACCACACCTCTCCCTTCTTCCTGGGCCCAACTGATCACTGTGTCCAATGCTGTGAGCCAGGACTCACACAGCACTTGGGTAGTTCTACATGCTGGGTTGCCTGACACAGCAGCCCTTACCTCCTGAACACCAGAGGTCTTAGCCAGCTACCAAAGGCAAGTGACCAGCTTCAGCACTCAAGAATATTAGCCCATTTCCTTGACAGCTGATAGCTGTCCAGAGGAATTTGGCTTTGCAGACCTGAAATAACAAACTAGGAAGTAGGAGGATCTCCGTGGAATCCAGCTTTAGACTAAGTATTTGATAATCTGGCATAAGATCACAGCATAAAAACCAAAATGAGCCATGTTTCAAGACTGAATGTTCTGACCCGTTATGAGGAATAGATATTTATAGGAGAACTGTAAGAAAGTGTAAAAAATACAGATCATTTAATGGTTCTAGCCCTAAGCACAACAGGAAGTACAACCACAATCACATGGTAAGTAATTCCCATGGAAATGGATAATATTTTCCATTAAACTGGAATTCATTTTTGGCTATAATCTGCTTAAGGACACAGAATGCATAATGCTGCAGCAAGATGCCATATATAAAAAAAGAAAATGGCTACACTGTGGATATGACTGGGGTGTGGAGGAGGAAAGGACACACTGAAGACAGAGGACTCAGTGTAAGAAAACCCTGTCCCAGCACATCATGTTACAGGCAGGAAATGCCCTCTGTTCCCTGCCCTCTGTTACCACTGGATCTCACTGCCTGGGTTTCCCTGCAGTGGACTGGGTAAATAAAGCAAGTGAAAAACGTCAGCATGGCTCCTCTTTCCCTGGTCCCTTAACTGCGTCATGAATCTCTCCTAGGTCAGGAACAAAAAGTATTAATTAACTGCTTTACCAGACACACTGCCTCCATGTCTGCCAAGGCTATGATCAGCCCACCCAAGCTTCCTTTCTATCCTCAGTGGCCCAGAATCCACCTCCAGCCCAAACCAGGGCTGTCAGTCTGTGTTCCAGTGGCATTGCAGGTTGCCCATTCCATCTTGCCCAGCCCACCCATGGGTCCCAAAAAGTCCAGCCACCAGGAGACCCTGCCTGGCCCAGTCGCCACAGCCCTGCTTGGCTGAGCTGCAGGATGATTTTCTGACTTGAGCTCGTCCTGTCTCATGACCATGAACTTGCTCTATGAACACTCAGCATGGCTGGCTGAACTGGCTGAGAACCTCCAGGTCTGCCCTGCTCCCTGGATAGGGGCAGTGGGATAGAGAGAGTGTTAGCACACTCAGCTCCCAGCTCCCGGACCCTGCGGGAGCTGCCAGCCCTCACAGCACCTGAGCACAAGGTTTGCAGTGCCATGATAGCCACGTTCTACCACCTCTCCTTGCCAGGGAACTACACCCCAACACACCACAGCCTCGGGCAACCCAGTGGATCTTGTTGCTGTAACTACAAGCCACACATTGGGTGGCAGTGGGGCAGTCCCAAAGGAACTGGACCAGCAGAAGTTCTGTCCGTTTATGGGTAGTGGAGAAGTTCTTGGTAGCTGGATCTATTGTTTTCCCACAACTGAAAGCTACAAAGATAAGGCTTCATTTCCATTTCTTCAGCTCCTTCTTGAGAAACAAATGCCATTGAATAGGTCTGTCAGAACTTTTGGCACCATAAGGAATTGGGGTGTCGAGAGAAGAGATGCTGCCAGCAGAAACTTGTTTTGATTTACAAAAATAGTTCTATTAACTTGTCTGGCAGTGTTGAACCTGGCCTTGAACATGGCTCTTCCTGACATAGTGGGTGGCTTCCTTGCCCACAGCAGGGGTATTGGAAGTAGACAATTTTTAACATCCTTCTTTCCAACCCAAACTATTCTATGACTTCTATGATAACTTGCACCTAGATGGCATGTATTCATGATCTCCCAATGGACAAAGGTAATGGTGGCTGGGTCACCAGGGACAGTGTTCCCATTTACCTTCCCAGCTATCTCAACAGATTATCAGTGTGGTTATGAAGCAGTTGTGAGATGCCAGCATCAGCCTTTGGATGAGGGTGTTGTACCTACAGCAGCTCCCAGCACTTGGGAAGTGCTTGGTTTTCATGGCTGGGGTGAATGGTGTCAAGCTAACCAGTACCCAGACCCCTGTGGGGAAACTGAGTCAGTAATAGTGCTTTGTGTCAAGCCCCTGACACTCAGAATTTATAACAAGCAGTACAGCTCTAGCAGCCTCCACCAAGAGCATGTTTTTCAGTTTTTAATATAGGCAAAATAAGGAGAGGAGAACAGTCAGTGCTAATGGAAAATACTCTTACCTTTACAAGGAATGGCTTCAAGTAAAGCATTCCACTGAAGGGTGAATTCCCCCTTCCTTGCAGAGCAACTTACCTGCAAACATCCTAGCAGTGAACTGTGTTTTCCCTCCCTTGTTCCCTGTGGAAGTGTCAACCCAAGTATGAACAAGATGCTGTGTGATGGGACACTCCTCTCATATTCAAACAATCTGTAGTGGTTATTAAAGATACACAGGCAGGCTATTAAAGATTCTTTGTATGAAGAAACAGACTGAGAAAAGTTGATGTGTATTCCCTGTTCCAGAGCTAGAAAAAAGACAAGGTCACCAAACTTTCTTGCAATCAAAGGTTTCTGGAGATGCAGGCACAAATAGCCCCTTTGAAGAGGGGCTTAGAGGGAAACCCAACTTAGTATATATATATATCTATATATATATATATAGATATACAGGCTGGAGGAGACAGCATAGGAAAGATGAGGTTTCTTGGCATCTTACCCACACAATCAAACCACTGCAGCTGTCATCAATATTGAAATTCTCATGATCTTCCATGAGTTTCATGATTTTTGTCATCCATTTTCCCCTCAGATGAACTGAGGAAATAATCCAGTTGTATTATCTTCATGTCTGTTGAGAATGATGCACTTATACATGTAAAGGTCTTTATCTTATCTCATGGGGTTGGGAGACTGAGACACAAAAGGATGGAGCCATGGTTGTCCTTATTTTAGAGCAATAATTTAAATCTGAGGAAGAAGCACACCTTTGACGTGTAGCTTCAAAAGAAGTTAAAGGAAACACGGCACATCCTGTTTCAACAAACCCTTTTCCAGTAACCCTAAGGAAGATCTTCAAACGTGTAAGGGTTTCGGAAGCTGCTTACCTTCATTCATAGTCTTCCTGTTTTCCTGTAAGGTCAAACAGATTTATATGTGAAAGGACAACCTGCAGTAGACAGAGTGAAGCCATGTATCGCTTCTTGTTTACACTAGTTTTGCAAAGCTAATCCCAGAGTCTCTGCCTTTTCTTGGTATTTTCAAACTCAATAAAACCACAAAGACTTGAAGAGCAGAATAGGTGCTACATTTTAAATGCTTTTTCAAAGGATGATTTGCTTCAGTGTGTTCTCATTATTAAAGTAGGGCATCTGCTGAAACAAAAAAGAAATTGTGCACAAAGCAAATGAAAATGCTGGGAAATATAAAATCAAGAAAATTAATGAATGTTAACAATGTCCATGTTGCAGCCAAGCTCAGACCTGTCTGCTATCTGTTCCAAAATCAACATCTTCATTCAAGGACTTCCCTCTTTCACAAATTCTTCTCAGTGGCATCCAAATTCTTCTTGAAGTTAATGGGAACAAGCTCTGATCATTATATGAATGACTTCTCAATGCATGAGAACCATCTTTCTGAAATCAGCAGAGGCTACATGGCTGTAGGTAGCAGAGAATCAAAGTCATTTAGATTGGAAAAGATCCTTAATGCCATTGAGTCCAACCATTAACCCAGAACTGCCCACCACTAACCTGTGTCCCTAAGCACCATGTCTGGTGATCTTTGAGATCTTTTCCAACCTAAACAATTCTATAATTTTATGACTCCACTGATCTGATGGCACAGCTACTTTTTTATCCATCCAGCTGTGCACCCAGTACCAGTGTAATGTATTCCCTTGGATACACTGCAGAGGAATTGCTGGCAGAAGAACCTGTTCAGATTTGGCACGTATGCAACCCACAATCATTTGCCTGTATGTCCAAGGTTTTGCTCTGAGCTGTTGAGGCTCTGCAGGGCTGCATGACCCTGCCCTGTGCTGCAAGCAGGCAAGTGAAGCCCAAAAGATCAGTCCAGCTGCATTTCCCTGAGGCTGCCCTTGAACACGGGACACGAAGGAGCTCCTGGGATCAGAGGCTTGCCCTGCAGTCCTGTTCTTGGACTCAGCAGGAGACACAGGAGGGCAAACAATGGTTTTCCAAGCAAACTCCCCTGTGAACCCCTTCCAGACTATCCTCACCTGTCCCCAGAGCCTTCTGAGCAGGAGATGGACACCTGCCAGCTGCTCAGATCCCGACCCACTTTTCCTGAGAACTCAGCAAGGGAGAGTTTCACAGACAAGAGGAAATCCCTAAACAGCATGCAGCCCAGAGAATGGAAAGTTTTTTCTTGCTGGGGGGGTTGGGTTTATTGTGGTTCTCCCCCCCACCCCCACCCCTTCCAACTTCCCAGTGAATGCATCTGGCAGCACACTGTCCCTGCCAGTGCGGGATTCCAGCGGAAACCAGAGGTGGGAGGGCTCTTCCTGCCCAGGGGAGGCTTCCCAGGAGTATGAGGGATTTACAATCGCCTCCTCTCGCTCCCTGTCCTCCGCAGAGTTGCCCTGAAGGCCATGTGCAGTGGCAGGCTGCAGACAGCTTTGCTGGTGGCTGGCTACTTTGTCTACCTGCTGGTAGGTGCTGCTGTGTTCCAGGCCCTGGAGAGGACTGCTGAGAAGCAAGAGAAAATGGCAGCTGCCCAGATGAAGGAGGCTTTTCTGCAGAACTTCACGCAGCTCACGGTGCCAGAGATGGAGCAGTTCATGAAGGTGAGTGGAAGTCCTTTCTCCCTCCTGTTTCCCCATCAGATGTTGTTTCCTACTCGTCCTTGCTGCACAGGTAACTCTCACTGCTTTCCTTCTGATTGTGGTTACCTGGATGCTTCCAGCAAACCTCTCTCTGGTGTGAGCAGACAGCTCAGTCTGATGGTAAATACAACTTGTGTAGCTGGACAAAACTTTGTGTGTGCTAGCTATTAAAAATCCCCATCCCACAATATCCTGGGTTTTTTGGGTTCTTGCCTCCTGTTGATTCTGCTTTTAGTGGGGCTGTGCTCTTACACAATGGGTGGCATGGCAAGAAAAATGAGGCTGCTTGAAATGAATAGGTGTGGCTGCCACTCGGAACAGCGTCACAGATTGTGCAATATAGAAACAATAAGGAAAGGTCTGGATGGGGAAAAAAAAACAAAACAAAACTCCAAATAACTACAAGGAGGGTAGCATGGTCAGAGTTTCATTTTTAAGGATGCTGCAGAAGAGAAACAGGTAGCCTGGCCAGGGGAAAATATTTCTCGTCATAGCACAGGAAGATGAAGATGAATATGGCTGTCTCTTCAACCTGGGTATTTTAGAGCTCTATCTGCTATAATGCAGGAGAAAATGAGGAGTTAAAGCCTTGCTGGAAGCATTTCCACATGGAAAACTAATGGAGCTCTTAATGGGCCACTTCACAGAATAAAGAAATGCGGGGAAGAACTGGTGTTTCTAATAGCAGAACCAGCAATTCAGTCCCTGTTTCACCCATGCATGCATCCTCTTCACCTTGTTTTTTATGGGTAGGGAAGAAGGTAAAAAAAAAAAAAAATGAGAGCTTTTCAAGAAGGGAAGGAAAAAAAAAAGATGAGGTTTTAAGACAAAGAAATCTTTGTGCAAGGGCTATGGAAATTATTTTTGTTAGCCTCAATTTTCTGAGACATCAGCAAAAAACATAGTGAAGGAAGAAGCAGGGAGGAAGATTTTGCTGGTGCAATTTATTCCAGCATGCATCCTGCTTCTGACAGGGCTCTGTCCTGGATTTTATCTCAGTTGTTTCTGTACAAACCAGCCTGCCTTCCAGATGTCCAGTCCAATGTTCGCTGTTTACTAAAGACAGGGACAACTGGAGGGACAACTGCTAAAGACAGGGATACTGTTTGCTTTTCATTCTCCTTTTAACTTAAAAAAATAAAATAATAAGAGAGTTAAAAAAATAACAGCACTTAGAATTAAAACCAAGGAAGAGTCTGAAAATGCATAAAATGGTAAATGATAGGACTGGAGAGGTGTGGAAGAAATATTTAGTCAAGCCTTGTGTGGCAGGGCAGTCTCAACTCAACCCAAACCATCTCTGACAGATGTTCCTCTATCCTCCTCTCAAAGGCAACTTTGCAAATGTGTGTGTAAATGTATAAATTTATCTGTGTGTATTCATGAATACAGTTTGGAGAAGAATGTGTATGCCAGGCTTTGCAAATCAATGGACTTTTTCTGAATTTAATTCTGTGACACTAATCAAAATACAGACTTGAAATCAAATTCTCAGTGTATCTCATGTGTACCCTGGCACAACTCACTGAGGCACCACTGGGAGGGATCAGAGCCACTGCTCATACAGGTGGGTGATCAGATCTTGGATCCACCACTGCCATCTCAACTGCAAGTCCAAATCCAACAATCAGCCACCCCCATCTCTTAAACCAGTTCTGTGCCACATCATAGTCACTCACAGGATTGTGAATTTCCAAACTACTTGGCCTGAAAGAAACAAGGCCCTTGGTCACACTGAAAGAAACAATTTCTCTTCAAATACCAACTGGAGCAGTCAGCACAAACAGGGCAGAGGTTGAACCCAAACCAACTGGATAATGCCTTCCCAGCCTTAGAGGTGAAGGTGTGAATAGTGTCAGACAATCTCTGAAGTGAGGTGAGTGGTACTTGCAGGAGAGGAGCAGTAGTTGGATAAACCTGTAATATTTTTGCAGTAAGCTCTTGAGAAAAGCAGTCATGATGATACCAAACTTTGCTTTCTCTCCCAGAACCTGATTGAAGCCATTCAAAATGGAGTATACCCTGTTGGAAATGAATCACAGTTTGAAGAGAGCAACTGGGATTTCAGCAACTCCTTCTTCTTTGCAGGCACAGTTGTCTCCACAATAGGTAAGTCTAATGCTTTCTATTTATGTGTGCTTGTGTGTGAGTGATGCTTATTATGTCTGGTTGTTAGGACATGAATGGATAATACTTTCCAGGATGAAAACTCCAGCCCTTTGTTGTCACGGGTGGCAAGCAGGCAAGGACTTAGTCCTAGGACCTTCCCAGTGCACAGTTTTTCATGCTTTATTTTGGCTTGTCAAATATCAGTGGCTTTTCCTATTATTTCCCACTTGTTTCTTCTTTTCAAATCATCTGTTATAATGTTCACTCTGCTGATATTTGTAGGTGGGAGATAAACTTCACTTTCCTGGTGTTTATTCCAGGCTTTAGATCTGAGAGTGCTGTAAAAGATAAAAAATGTAAGGAAAGAAGTGAGTCCTGCTGGGGCCCGTCTCCATAACCTGTTTTGAGCTGTTAATTCACGTATTCAATTAGTAACATGCCAGGAGGAAAAAAATGGGAAGGGGTAAATGAAAATGCTGAGAATTTTACATTGCTGCTTCAAGCTGTTCTGACCTTTACAGGGCCTGCCTGCCCCTACCTGCTTCATCCTTTCTTTCAAATGTACATCCCAAAAAGTGCAGGCCTGCCAAACTTAAGGATAAAACCCATACTGTTGGCACCTTCTTCACAGTCATGCAGTGGAAGTCAAATGTGTGTTTTTACAGAGTGGTACTGAGGCCTCATTCCCACCAGATCCTAAACACAACTGGTCTGTGACATGTCCCAAGGGCCCCAGTAGTGTCCCAGCACCATGGGAGCTGTGTAAGTGCTGCCTGGGCCCACAGGAGATCTCCTGCTGTAGAAGGGGAGGGTTCTCACCCATCATTGAAACTGGAATATTTCTCCAACAGGGAGCACAAGACAGCTCATGCATTTGGGAATCTAGTAGCCCAAAAATCACTCAGTTGTTTTGTCTTTTCCCCACAAAGAAAACATTGCAATTTTCAAGTAACGGATGCCTTGACGTGAGCTGTGCATGGGTAATGCAGTTTTCCAGGGTCATTGATAGCATAAGGACATACACAAAGTTCAGTATTCTTGCACTCAGGCATGTACCTCATGAGGTCCAAGAGTCTTAAGACTAAAGGACATGTTTGGGGTTGTTCCACTAATTATATAAATCCTCTCTTAGTAGGACCTTAAGGCAAATGTCTCTCTGGCATGAGCAAATCAGCTACCAGCAAGGTCTGGGCTAATTAGCACCATCTATTCTAATGCACACTGCACTGCCTTGGGACTGGAGTCAGTATCTGGACATAGCAACTCACTGGGATGGAGCCAGGGAGGTCACTGACACACAGGCAGATCAACAAGAAGCTGGGGATGGCTGCATGTGATCCTGACAGCCTGGGACTCCAGCTCTGATGTCTTCCAGATCCTCAGACTTCTATTTTCTGACTTTCCATGTATTTGTCACAGGACAGAGCACGTTTCCCATAATTGCATCTTGATTGTGGTTTTGTTCCCACTAAGGCTGTGTTGGGAACACACAGTGCTTCTGCATTCCCCCAGACATGCAGGGTGAACCACTTCATCTGCTAACTGCCTTTTTCAGAGGAAAAAAGAGTGCATTTGGGCTGAGAAACACTAGCCACATCTTTTAGGGTCAAAGGCAGGCTGGATTGGAGTAAAGGTGAATATGACTGTGAAATGCTGCAGTTCTTTGGAATATCTCCTCTGACCCATCTTTTCTTTTATAGGCTATGGCACATTACATCCTAAAACTGCTGGGGGACAGATCTTTTGTGTGTTTTTTGCACTTTTTGGAATCCCTCTGAACATTGTTTTTCTGCACCGTGTTGGTAAGATGCTCTCACTGCTCTGCAAAAAGCTGGGGAAATTCCTGTACGAGAAAGGAATGAGAAAGGTAATTGGTTTTACCTACTCAGGCACAATTATATGCTCATTTCTAGTCTTTTTCTCAAGTTTTATGCTGCCTTATCCTCGATTGTATTTGCTTTTGTGCTGGGTTAGATGTTCTAGGGCAGAAAGAGGCATTCTTCACTTGCAGAGCTAAGCAGACATGTCAGCCTTAGAGGAGATATTCAGACAAAGGCATGCATTTTGTCTTCCCATCTGATGGGAATGGCAGAAATCCAGCCCCCTTCAGCAATCAGTGGAGAGAGTGGGCATCCCACCCCACTTCTTGAGACACTTATCTCAGGAGCCAACACCCTGGGGAAGTGCATGCATCCCTTCAAAACCAGTAAAGGTGATTAAACGTCACCTTAAGGCAGCAAAAGCAGGTGAGCTGTGCAAAGCTGTAAAAATTAGGTGAGGTGTAGAGGTTAAAATGGATTTTAACTCAATGCATAGTGGGTTACTCCTCATAATAGTGGGATTACCCAGTCCTTTAGTCTCTCTCCTCCCTTAACTCTGACAGAAAGGAAGCATCAGGCTGAAGTTGTCCATTTGAGCCTGGTTGCTGAAAGATGAGGAGACACCTGTAACAAGCTACAGACAGGATGTCTTTTGTCTGGTTTATGCCCCATTTTATTTTCAGCTCCTCCCCTTCTCTCAGCACCGCTGAGGAAGTGAGAATAGCTTTTCTGTGTCTCCTACTATAATTCTCTTTCAGGACAAGGTATGATTGCTACAGATAACCCTGTTCAGATTGCTGAATTTCCTGTCATATATGGCAAACTTAAACAGAAGATAAGGCTCAATCAGATACAGGCTCAAGCATGTACACAATACATGAAGACATGAAAAGTTGTCCAGCAGTTGCCATTAATTTCCAGGCAATCTGGATTTGGAAAATTCTATACATAGAAACTATGTGTCTGGCTGATAAATCTCTACATATAATAAGTCTTCTTCTCTAGTCAAAGCTCCATGACTGCTGGGAAGTAGAATGCCTTAAAAGTCACTGTACAGGCTCTTCTTTATCAAGAGCTCATTAGTTTTTTGGTTTTTTTTTTTTTTTGTTTGTTTGTTTGTTTGGTTGGTTTTTTTTACAGTGAGATATCCACTGTTTAGGAACCAAGTTGTGGCATTGATGCAATGAGAAATAAAGTCAATAACCAAGACTCTTGAAGATAGTACTTTCAGAAATGGTGCAATTATTTTTAATTAAAAATTCTCTTTTCCCAGGAAAATCTGAATTTAGGTGCCAATCTTAAATACCTAAAAATTAAAAATGAAGTTGTGTGGTGATAAGTGGAAATGGTTTGACTCTGATAAATGTCATTAAATATTGGAGGAATTCCTCCAATAGTCACAGTCATTGATACAATCAAGTAAAAGACTACATCTTCCAGGGCCACTGTGGACATGAAATACCCATAACACCTCGCTTCCCCCTGATTCTAAGCAAGACTGAGGTATTTCCAGAGGAAAAGCACTCAGTAGAAATCCTTCAGATCCTCCTGATCCCATATAGCCACCCACTTTGAATAGCCAGCACTATATATAGCTTATTTGTGTTTCAAATCATGATTATAATTGAACTGGTTTATTTTTCAGAAGAAGATCAAATTTCTGACCCTTTTGTTCTTCCTGGCAACGGGGATCCTGGTTTTTCTGTGCTTGCCATCAGTCTTCTTCCAGATAACAGAGGGCTGGTCCTACAGTGAAGGAATTTACTTTGCATTTATCACCCTCAGCACCATTGGCTTCGGAGATTATGTAGTAGGTAAGGTTGATTGCAGAGAAGAAACACATCAAAACACCAGGATAATGACTGTAATTGCCATAGGTTGACTGAATGTACTGTAGAGACAAATCTGTCAAAAGTCTTTGCTTAGTCTTTGCCTTGTACAGTTCTGGGGGAAAATACTTCTCTGGGGTTGTATGTGCTTATAAAAGCACAAAGTCATCAAAATATAAAAAAATGAGGTGCTTTGGGGTGCAAAGTATTTTGGTGAGGGAAGGGAAAGTGGAATTTTTATTACCTAGAGGGAACAGTTTATGACAGCTGTACAAAACAAGGTGTGTATCGCTGCTTTAGCCATCTCAGATTTAGGTTTCACAGTGCAAAGTGAAGAAATAAGTGATCATGTTTCAGAATATATGACTTCACACAACAGACTAAGAGGTGGAAATCCCAGTCATGGGAAGCTGGGGAAATCTACTCACACTGTTAGAAGTAGGGCTTAAATATATACATCACTGCAAAAGTGGCCTTCTTTAATCTGCTGAGTATCTCTGGAGGTTTTCTATCCTCACAAGCCAGAGATTAGGATTTCCCCTGAAGAAACACTGTTTAAGCTGCACCCAAGCATGCTGGAATGCTTCTCAAAACATTTCTGTGGATCTGCTGGACAAAATACACTCTCCATGGAATAAGTTTCCAAAGGAACTGCAAAATAATTACCAGGAGCAAAATCAGTGTCCACAGAAGAAGCAGGAAACTGAACTCTGTGGAGCATCCAAGATTTCTCAACAACAATCTGTCCTGCCATCATCTTGCCAGCCTGAACTTCTCCTCAGCAGGGGTATGCAAAGAAAACTGTAGCTGATAGTTGCACCAGTGCTGTCCCCACAGAGGGTCTGGAAGCCTCACACACCTTTCTGAGGGACAGACATCTACCACACAATAAACCCTGGGCTCTCAAGCCTTGCAGAAGTGCTAGACAGGCCTTGGAGCCTCTGAGCTGGAAGGATTTCTTACATAAGGCCGATGCCTTTGGCAGAGGAAGCCCACAAACTTTTCCAGGCACTGATGTGTCACTGTTGACTATAATTTCTCTAAATCTGTTCCTTGAAATAGTCTGCTGTACAGAATGGTGGGGAGGGGCTGGTGTCATGCAGGAGAAAAACTGAGCATCAAAATGTTGCATTGTCTTTCCTTGTCCAAATCAAAGGTGTGTTTTACAATAATGACAGCAAGTCACTGCCTGAAAACCATGACTTCCATAGCACTCCTCTGCAGCCATATTGCTTTACAAAAACAATAACTTTCTAATTGTTACTTAAAAATAACAATTAGATAGGTCTCGTGGCTCTATGATTTCATCTTCATTAGGATGACAACTGAAGCTGAAATATTTTTCTGTGCCAGTATTTATCTTAATTGGCCTTAACAACAGTAATAAAATGTTGATAAATTTAATGCTTCACATCTTCACAATTAAACAAGCAGAATCAATGACTGCTCTGAGAATTATGCACTGAGAATTGCTTACAGATGATAAATGGTTTTTTGCACTGGCCAAGTGGAACAGAACAGGTCTGAGTTGATTTGCATTTTAGTACGTCAAAAGTGCTTTGTGGCTGAGCCTTTTTGGGGAAGGCAGACATGCTGGGAAGATGGCTCAGCCTGGAATACATGTACATACAGGAGATACCTCTAGGGTGAAACTCCCTGGGGGTTGTTTACTGAATATTCCCTGCTCAAGTCCAATTTTGGGGTAACAATACAAAGATATTACTTGTGGCTTTGCTAACCCCGCTCATGAACTCCAGATAAGAGCACAACAAGGAGATGCTTTGTACCAAGGCTGAGAATCCCTTTGCCAACTCAATGCCAGCAGCAGGAAAAGAAACAGCTGTTGGATACCTGTGCATGAGGACAAACCTGCTCACTGCTGCCCCATTTCCAGAGCTCTTGGATAACAAAGAACAAAAATCTTGCCCATTAATCTATGCAGTACAGAGCACTGCAGGACTTGAAAAGAGTTGCCAGCACCCAGGCTCCTTCTGGGCAGGTTCACCACGAGGTTTGTGGTGGTCTTCCTGTCCAAGCACGTTGCTGTGTTATCCACTATATCAAGACACCTTTGGCAGTGACTTGGAGCACTCCATAAGCAATATCACCAAGTGTTCCTCCAGATGCCAGGGCCACATCACCTGTATCATGATGATAATATTGTGTGGGGCCAGGCAAATGCTCTCTGGACGTTGGGGGTGGGTTGCTGACATCTGAAGGATCAAACAAAATGACCCATGCAGAACAGCAGGTGTGAGGTCCTGGCTGATGCTAAGAGGATCAGACTGCATGAAATAAGCTTTGGTCCACTGGTTTCCAACATAGAAAGTTCTGTTCTTGGCACGTGTCAGTAAATTCTCATCAGTCATGTAGTTTTTTTAATGGGGGAAGCTCCTGAAACCATTCAAAAATGAGGTAGGAATTGCAGCTACACTCTTTGTGTGCTTGCAGGCACCTGTAATTTAAAGGAACTATTTATTAGGTTGTAATCACACTCTATAGAAATACAGGGAATTACAATTACCCAGATAATAATGGTTGTGTGGTTACAGTGGCCCACTGTGCTCTGCTTTTTGTGCTTTGGGACTTTGGGTGCAATTCCAAGATGATACAATACAATTTAACACTACTTCCCACATTATTTCATTTACCTGTACGTGCAGCAGTTGTACTGGGATTGAGATGTAGTAAGGGGGAAAAAATAACCTGCTCTGATGGTAATTCACCTCAATCACAAAATCATAGAATCACAGAATGATTCACTTCAATTCCAGTGTGTCATTTGGCAGGCCAGCATATTTGTATCATGCTTATTGCATATATCAGTTCATTGCAACAATAAGAGAATTGCCCAGCCTTAACCTAGTGCTCTGGAGCTGAGAGTCTCCATTACAATGAAAAAGTCACCTTAAAGTACTCAATATAAAACATACTGATGAATTCATTAGGCTGTTCCACTTTACACTGGCAAGGCAATTTATCTTTTTAATTTTCTCCTTCTTTCTCCCCCCTTATCTTCAGGCAAACAGTCTGACAGGAAATACTTTTCCTACTATCGAGTGCTGGTGGCCATTTGGATTCTTTTTGGCCTTGCCTGGATTGCTCTGCTGTTTAATTTATTGACAACAGTACTAGAAGATACTGAAAAAATAATTGTCAAGGATCTGCAGCAAATTGGAAAGGTGAGTAAGGACAATGTAGGAAGCCAGCAAAGAAGATGCTGGCCCGTTCAATTTATTCCTGAAGAAGAACAACTACCACCACGTGCTGGAGGGGATGCAATGAAAATGGAGTCATTAACAGCAAATTCTGAACACACAAAAAATGAAAAAAAGTGTTTTCTAATAGCAAAACTATTGCCATAACGTGTTGAGAATTGAATTCTTCATTGGAGAATTGCTAGTTAATTATTCTAAAAAATTCCCATAGAAATAAAATTTCTCCTACCTTTTGCCGAGATATCACCTTTTAGAACTCAAGACTTACAGTTACACAAAGCCTGGATATTAATGGTAAGAAATTTGCTCCTCAGTTTGCAGCTAGGTTGTGCTAACAGCCTGAGAAGTGCACCTGCTTTGCAAAGTGTTTTTAAGGTGCTTTCACAAAAATGCAGAGGAGGGGCATGGAAGAGCTTGCTGGTTCTGTTTGGATTTTGCAGCTTGCAAGAAATCATGTCTCTTCCAGGAACTGACATGCAGAAGCTTTTCTGACACTGCATAGCACTTTTGGAAGAAGAAATAAGGGTATATAACTTCATAGGTGCTTGACTTGAGCCATCATATTGGATCAGGTGTTATGGTCTGAAAGACATGTTTAAATGACAAGACCTGAGCTCAGTTCAGAGACACTTGAAGCATCTAATGGACAGGGTCATGAAATGGTTAGCATGTTAGAAATGACTGATTCTACCTCTTCCTCTTTTATACTAAGATGAATAAAGGCAATTTCAGCTTTTATCCCGGTGGCTCTGAAAAACCTTTCTGATGGTGTTTATAAAAAATGAGACCTATCTTTAATTAAATTTTTATAATAATTTTATTCTGCAAGTTTTTCATAAGAACTGAGACCATTATGAAGGGAGGAGTCCTTGCTGCAATGTTTTGATTCCATAGGAACTATGAAGCCATTTAGCAATGATTCTGTGGTGCTGTTGCTTTCCAAGGGTGAGTGGTGTCTAAACCTTCAACCAGGTGAAAAAAAAAGGGTGCCAGATCTGGGCATGGCTTTTCAGACATGCTGTCTGGCCTTCAGGCCACTTCTGGGTGAAGACTCTGACCTTCAAAGGGTTGATCTGTGTGTCACAGGACTTCCATGTGCCAAAAATGCACAGAAACCCAGCCCTGAAGAGCTGGCAGAGCAGCTGGGGCAGACACAGTCATAAAAGTGAAACATCCCCTGTGTGTTTATGATCACACCAAAAGTCAGCCCAGCCCAACACCTTCTCTGACCATAGCTAATGTGTCCCCCAGCAGTGCAAGGATCAGGCTGCTCTGCCATGCCCCAGCACAGGGGCCAAGCCCTCTGCCCGCCCATGCAGGAGATGGGGTCTGTACATCAAAATCCATGAACTTGCCCAAATGCTGAGCTCACATCAGCACCCACAGGACTCTCCAAGGCAGTCCATAGCTTTAGTGCACCAAGTCCTCACTCTGACAGTGCTGAACCTGTCACTTGACATGTTACTGTGAGCCCCTCAAGCTCCTGTTTTTTCAGACTGAATAATTGGGTTTTGCTCACCCTCTGGGTGTTACTTACAGCATGACCAGCCCATGCCAGAGTTATTCCTGTATGAAAAGGAGAATAAATTACAGCTGTAAAGCAATTTCAGGTTATAAAGATGCAGTCAGCCTTGAAGTTGGATTCATAACTATCTCAGTCAAACAGAGCCATGCTTCTTGCCAAAGCAATTCTGCTGGTTCAAGACCTGGCATGTAGACCTGGCCAAACATGTACTTTCTTTCCCTCCACAAATTATTTTCCAGTGTTACTCTCAAGGCTGACTTCTCACCTCATATGTCTCACTGTCAGTAAACGTTTTTGAGGCAGCAGGAGCAAGACCTGACTGAAATCAAAGGAGGGTAGCAGGCACCAGAGCCAGGCAGAGATAACAGCTGGATGCTCCCAGGCAGGGATCTCTTCACCTCTCTGTTTTCCTCTCTCACGGAGCATTAACCCACATTATTATTTTCCAGGCATCATTCTAGTCTCTATTATCTCTTTTTTTTTTATTTATTTTTTTTTTTTAATTTTCCCCAGCCCTTCCCAGAAGGATCATTAACCCCGCTCCCAGTCTAATGTAGGGACTGTCAGGGCTGGTTTAGGGGGTGTGAGGGTCCTGCCTTGGGGTGCAATAGTAATTTTGTACAGCCTCTCATTATTCCTTCCATGCCAGCTCCTGGTGTCTGGAGTGGAGGGTTTCTTCAACTTCTTCCCATTACTCCCTGTTGTGACGACACAACTCAGCCCTGGAACAGGCTGCAGATGTCCCATTGTAACACAGAGTAACCAAAGATGCTTTTTTTAGACATTTCAGGAAGGGCAAGAGAGACATCCCATAGCCTCTGAGTGTAAACAGCAAGCACAGAGCCAGGAAGTGCCTCTTGGAGCAAAATGGGACAAATTCTCGTTCCTTTGCCTTGGTGGGTGTTTAAAAATGAGTCTTGAAACCCAAACACTTCCCACTTCCAGGAGTCCATCTGTCCTGTGTGGTCATTGCCATAGGGTGCAGGCATTGTAACTCATTCCTCCTGCCATGCTCCAGGGTAAGGATGTGTTACAGAGGGACTGAAAAAGCCACCCAAGGCCAGAGGATCCAGGAAACAAAACATTACCCAGGAATGGCCATCATGGGGCTGTCCACCTTCAGGCAGCAAGAACTGAGGTGTCCCTGTAGATGCCAGCCTGGCAGCACAGAAAACACATCCATTTAAAAAACATAAAAATAAAACCTCTCAGGAGGAGCTTAGCTGCTCTGAGAAAGGAGGCTGCCTATTCATAAACCCTTCCTCCTGCAGAGGCCTTTTGGAGAAGGGTCTTAGCTTTGCTCCTTGTGCCCTCCAGTGGCTGTGTGCTGCAGACCCTTTCCCATCACATCCCTGCCAGGTCTGGGGAGCCTTTCTCCACCTCCCACTGTTGCAGCTCTGTTTTGTCAGTGGGAACCAGAGGACACAGCCCTTTATTTTTATCCAGTTCACACGAGTGTGCAAAAGTCAAAAAAATGCCTCATTCTCCAGAAAGATGGGGATGAGCACCTCAGACTGGTGCAGCCAAGGTCCCTGCCTTGTGCCCACGTGGAGACAGCTCTGTGGAGGCCAGCTGGGATGTGATGGCTTTCTGCCAGCAAACCAGCACCAGAAGGATCCTCACTGGCAGCGCACACGGCGCCCATGGTGGGCAGCACTCCCATCACACGCCCCATGCAGAAGCTTCCCATGCACAAAATCTGTTTCAGGGTCAAGGCATGCATTCCCACCCCATCCCAAAAGGGAAAGGGATTGGTCTGGGAAAAAAATGTGCAAAAAGGCAAGTTTGGGTGCAGGATCTGAGGCCTGGAGGGGCTGGCAGTGCCTCATGCAGCACCACGGGTGGAGATAGGAGCTGCAGATATGTGGAAGGAAGAACCAGCACCAAAGGGTGTGTGGTCCTCTCTGCTGGGAAAGGCAAGGGGAAAGCCTGGGAAAGCTGCAAGCCAGGGTGGGAGAAGAACTTTTTTGGATATGATATTGTTCCTTGTTCTTAAACTGAATGATAAATCTGTCTCCAAAAGGGCTTAGGCACGGTGACAAATGTCTCCAGGGCTGGAGCAAGCAGCCTTTTCCAGCATTATCGTCCTCAGAACATTGCACAACAGCAGCAGAAATTGTCCTCACATCACCCCTGGAAGGGGGAATTGTTGATTCCTGTGCAGGTAACAGGGCCCCAGAGAAAATTCAGTGTATCCCAAACACTTTCATCAGACCTCTGGCTCTCTCAGCCAGGACCAGGTGTCCTGGTATTGCTTACTGATAAACTAGACCCAGATAGTGGTTCTGTACTTCTTGAGGTTTAAAAAAAAAAAACAAAAAAAACCTTGAATTGAGAGCAGAATTAGAGAAGAGATTCTACTCCACATCTGGAGATTTAAAATAATCCCAAGATTTTTAATTCATGACTGTAAGCCAGGCTTTGCTGTTCCTCTGCACGTTCTCCTTGCCCAAGGGACAGAAACCAGGAATAAATCCATTCTAAAATCCCTGTTCTGCCAAGTGACAGAGTGACAGAAATGCTCTGGAGACCAAGCAGAAGGGTTCTCCACTGGCAGATCTGTACAGCCTGCAGCCTTTTCTGGGAGTTGCTCAAAGCTCTCCCTGTGACCCATTCCCACTGTGCCACACAGGGGAATCCAATTTTCACAGAGCAGCCTCCTGTGCCACTGCCAGCTCTCCCACTGCAGCTTGTTTTCAAATGGGAAACATTTCCAAGGCAAGCCAAATACTTTCCAATACATTAAACCAGTTGCTGAAAAACTCCAGGAGTAGGATTGTGAAATATATTATCTGGGATTAAATGGCAGCAGCATGTTCCTGCATTCAGTCTGTGCTGCTCCTCATACATCACCCACATCTTCGCTGCCAGCTAGGAAACAGTGTGCACTTTTGCACTTGAAACCAAGGAAAAGCCATGAGGAATTATTTTTCCCCTCAGAAATTCAATTGCCTCCAGAGAGAACAGGAGAAACTACACTTTGATCTGTCTTTAATTAGTATATGGGCTGTTAGGGATCGTTTGAGGTCTCCCTCAATTAATAGCCAGTTCATTTGGAGAGATTATTTTTTTTCTGGAAGCAGAGGCACTACTCAAAACAGTGGAACACCTTGGCTAATGTAACATCACACAGCCAGTGGGATATTCTTTTTTTACAGCTATTGCTAAGCATGGGCCACACACATGCTGTTTTCCACTCTGTCACACTTGGACTTGTGCTTGCTTGCCTGACTCGTGACCAAAAGGCTGGATCCAGCTCAGAACTGGTTTAACAAACATAACTAATCACTCTACAAAGGCTTGCTTGTAGTCCATCCCTCACGATCACATCCAAAGAAACAAAAACCCCAGGTTTTGGTGCCAGCCAAGTCCCTCATACCATTCTGGTAGGATTCAAAGTGGTGTTGAACATAGATTTGAGACCAGATCTCACACTGTGGGGAAAGGGGATCCTTTGGGATCTCTCACATGGATGTCTGGGGAGATGTCTGATGGGATGTCTGAGGACCAGCCTGGGCAGCACTGACTTTACTACATCACAGGTAAAGTCAACATTTAGCTCTTCAGGGGCTAAAATTGGGGGGGGAAGTAAAAATGCTGCCTCCTTGTCCGTGCTCCTGCATCCCTGCAGCTGGTCTCACCTCCAACCCAGAACAGGAACTCAAATCTGCTTAGAAATTCAGCATTTGCTATCACGAGTGGTTCTGGACTCAATTAGGGTAAATCTCAGTCATGGATTTGGAAAGGCTCATTATGCTGTGTTAAAATTAGGGCAATTATTGAATCCATTTGATTACCAGACATGATTTAGGAGATGTGTCTCTTGAATAAACACTTTCCAAATTTCTCTTTCAATTACTCTTATATTTGTGGTTGGAAACTACATATGTACTTTGTGGTATGATGCTGAAGCATGAAATAATACATCCCCAGAAAGAGAGATACCCTGATAAGCAGAACAATAATAATAACAAGCATGAGTCATTGAAAAATGAAGGGAAGTACAATTTACAATTTAAGCTGATGGCTTCCTTGAGAGGGATTAGCCAGAAAGATGCTGATGTTCTCAAAGAACAAATGTGGTTTGAGGTGAATCCAGCTTCTCAAAGTAAAAGATGACTGTTCATCTTTTGGCATGGAGAAAATCATGCATCAAGACCAGAAAAGAGCATAAGTCAGAATTTGTGCTGGAAGTCCCCCAGAAATCACTGTTGCCTTCATTTAAATGACTCATTGAATGCTTTAAGATCAAGGACAAGGTCTTAAATTTAAAATGGTTTTGGAGACTTACTGGAAACCAAGGATGAAACCTAAGCAGGTCTCATCTGTCTATTCTCAGCTTCAAAAGTCCAGGCATTAATCTCAAAATAAAATATGCAGTGCCTGAAAATTAGAAAGATGCAAGAAGCCCATTAGGGGCACCTTCCAAGTGCTGGAAACCAATTCTCCCTATCCAAGCAGTCTGCCTCTTCACAAAGCATGCAGGAGCTATTCAGTGTCTCTGTTGTGCAAGTCTGTCACAAATCAATGCTGGGGTTGGGACCTGTATATTGCCCCAAATTAGATATAAATCAATTAGAGGTCAATTCCAGTCTCTGCAGAACTTCAGCCAGTTTCCCAGTTGCCAGTGTAAAAGTCCAACGATTTTTAAAATATATTTCTTTCCTTTCTTCCTTTCTTTCCTGATGTCTTTCTTCCTTACAGCCTTCAAGTTGGTGATGGGATGAAGGATGGATGCAGCAGAGCTCGCTACAGTCCCAGAAATGCATGGGCAGCTCCTGAAGAACATGGCCCAGCAACGAGGCCTACAAAGTGCTTAAAGGCTGAATGTAATGACAACAGTGGTAGCACAGTTGGGTGGTGCCAAATAGCCAAAAATTGCTAGGGGGAAACAAAAAAGAGGAATTTCCAGCAGTGGTTGTAAAAGTCTGTTCCTTGCTTGCAGCAGGTCTGTGACAAAACTCTGCATACGAGCTGCCCACACTTTTTGCTCAAACATGGGTCATTTATTGGGCTGGAGTTTGGTAACAACACTTCCCAGTCATCATCTCACAGGTCTCTGTAGGGGCTGGGCCTGCCTTGGCAGACCAGCCAGTGAAGGTGGAAAACATCCTCTAGGGATGTCAAGGGAGAAGCACAATTTTTGGTGCATGAAATTTCATACTGGCATTTGTAGTAGTAGCTGATTTTTGGGATCAGCCTGCATGATAGGTAAACCCCCTTTATGCACAGGTGTCCCTCAGCTGAGACAAAAAGTGTGTTGTGGTTGAAGAGGGACTTTTTACATGTACATGGAGGGGCAGGACAGGGGGAAATGGGCTTCAAACTGACAGAGGGTAGGGTTAGGTTAGATATTAGAAAGAAATACTTCCCTGAAAGGGTGTTGAGGTCCTGGCACTGGTGCCCAGAGGAGCTGAGTGCCCTATCCCAGCCCTTTTCCAGGTCAAGCTGGATGGATGGGGCTTGGAGCAACAGTGGGTGTCCCTGTCCATGGCAGGGGTTTGGAACAAGATGGTCTTTTAGGTCCTTCCCAATTCAAATCATTCCGTGCTTCTGGGATTCTGTTAAGTCACTGTGCACACACACGACAGAGCCTCCAGATGTCACCATCAACCCAAGCAAGAAAGAGGCACAGCACAGACCGAGCAGAATAACCCCACTCACAGACTTCTCCTTCAGTCCCTGCTCCCCTGCCTGGGACAGACAGACAGGAGGGTTTCCAGTCCACCTGGATTAAGTGCTTGAGTCACAGACAAAATCAACGAATGTGGTTTATAGCTGTGCATGAAAGCATTTTGTATGCACATTACGCTGATGTAGACCACATGGGTGCTTCCCTGTGTGTAGGTGTTCATTATTTTACACACACACACACACACACACATATATATATATATGAAATCATCTATGTGTATATATATATATGTATGTATATGCAGTTATATATATAACTTCATAACCTTTGGTCTGAAGAATCACAGGTTCTTTGCCAACAACTTTACCTGAAGGTAAAAGCAAGGCGTGTTCTCCAGTGCCTTTTCTAACCATATACATATTCATCTCTTCCAGTACACATTCCTGTGTCCCATCCAGCTGATGAGCTGAGAAATGGAGCAATCAGCCCTGTATAAAGGATCTGAGAGCATAGGCACAGGTGTTCCCAGAGAAAGAAGACAATTTGCCCTCAAGTCTCTGTAGTAAGGTCAGTGTTGACTTTTCAAGGAATTGGTTGTCTCCTCTATTTCCCTCGGCTTGTTAAGTTCATTTTGTGGCTCTCTTTCAGCAATCTAAATCTGCCTGTCTAGAAAAAAAAAAAAAAAAAAGGCTTAAAAAATCCCAACTCTGCCTCTTCTTCCCTTGAACTCTGCCCTCTCCTTACTGCCCACAAGATTGAGTGCATTCAGCATTTGTGGAGAAGAAAAAGGCCCTCAGCGCTGCTCAAAGCTGGCATTTACATTGTCCCTGTCACAGCGTGGAGCTGTGACGCAGAATAAAGTCACAAGCAGAGCCAAGCATTGAGGCAGCAGAGGTGTGGGACCCAAGGGACCCTGTGGTCACCCTTCCAGGGCTGCAGAGGGTGTGCAGGGTGGCAGAGCACCCTCCAACCTAACTTTGTACCTGCAGAAAACTGGCAGGATATCTGGGGGTGTTTGTTTAAACACACCCTTCCTCCTGAACATGACATTAAAAAAATATCACAAAAGGAAATGCCAGATTGGGCTGGGGAATGCTTGTGGGGTACAGAGGTGTTGTTTTTACATGAAAAGACCCTCAGGCTTCTCCTGCACCAAAGTTTTCATCCTCACAAAGTTTGAGCAGGGTCTGGAGGGATGGTGACACGGAAGATTAATGGATCTCTCCCAGCCATAGGTTGTCAGTTAAGTCAAGCACTGCTAATGCAGGATGCTGTCCTGAGACCTCTGTTAGCCCAATGACAAAGCTTTTTTTAAGTCCTCTGTGTAAAAGGCATAATCCTTGTATGCCAATGGATCATATCCTCGAGATCCCTAGGGAGCAAGGCAAATGTGGAAAGAAAGGGAAAGGAAATCCCTTATTTCATAATGGTGCAAACAGACATGTCAGGAGAATTACATCAATATGCAGCACATGTGAAATTTAATACTCCTCCTAATGCATTTAGATGAGGCAAAACGTAAAGTCTGTACTGCCTCTGGGAATAATTCTGGTAGGAAGCTTTCACCACCAGGAACCAAGGTCTTTCTACTTACTCTGGAATTTGAGCCTTTGTTTTCAAAGCCTTCCTGAGAGACTTCAAAATCAAGTTTGTTACATGTGCATTACTCTTTGAAGGTCTGTCTTCCAGAATGAAACACCAGTGCTCTTCCCAGCCATGCTGCTGTAAATGAAGAGCAGCACGGTTGAAAATCAGTCAAATATTCACAAGGGCCCATCCAACCTGCAAAAGAGGAGAGGCTTTGCACCGCAGAAAACCAAGATAAGCAAACACAACAGAGCTCTTATCCTTTGGCTGGTATCAGCTGGCACTGCTGGGGAGTCCATCAGAACTGCATGGCTTTCCACCAGCTTTGACTGTGACCCATAAGGCTCTCAAAGGCTTATAAACACAATATTTGATTTGGAGTCCTTGCAGACAGGAGGAGCCTGAAGTCTTCTCGCTGGTTTCCCTCCCTTTTATCAAATCATGGATATGGAATTCAGCAAAGGATACAGCTCAGATGTGGCTTGAATTCAGACAAGTGACTTGAAGTGATGATTTTCCCCCCTACCAGGCTGCAGATGATCGATGTATTATGCATGAAAATAGTGCCAGGCACAGATGGGGTGGGAGTAGAAGGTGTGAGCTGATAATGACAGCAGCCAAGTTCTGCTAGAAAAGACTCTACAACATGCTTGCATGTTGGGCAGAAAAAGGATGCAACATGCATGAGAGGCTAGCCATGGTTTAAAGGGTCAAACAGATTAATTACAGTCAAAACTGAGATTTATGCAAAGATTTGAGTGGCATGGTTGCCAGAGGAACAGGGGATTAGCCTCGATGATTCAAGGAATCATCTTCCAATCTTGTGTTCTTGAATAACCATTAGGGAGCTGAGTAAAACACATTTTTGGGGTTTAAAAGCTGAAGACAGGGAATCCAAAGGGGTGACATAGTTCTGCATCAGATATTGCCTTCAGCAGGATCCTGGCTCGTGCTCAGCACAGTGCTGAGAACTTGGCACCAGGTCCAAAGCTGAAACAAACAGGAATTTCTTCATGGACATTTCTAGGGTTTGGATCCAAGCCACTGAAGACCAGCATGTGAGGCCTAATCCCGTAAAAACAGTCAATGTTTGGATGGGAAACATGTCACTGAGTTGGAGCCAGGTGTGTGCAGACTTCCGTGGGAGGATGAGTCAAGAGAGCTCTGGCATCATCTGCAAAAGGACCTGATGCTGTGGGAGAGAGCTTAGCAAGTGTAAAAAACCATGAGGAAGCAGTGATGGTCCAAAGAAAAGCCCTCAATTTCCCTGGTTGTCCTTGGAGCATTCTGGAGATCATTGCAAGACCAGGCACTTGAAATAAGCTGTTTCCCTTCTACCTCTGAGCCATGAGACAGGGATGGTCTGTTCCTCACACAGCTCCTCTGGAGAAACTCCAGCCTTGAGCACAGAACTGACAGCTGGCAAGATGCCATTGGCTTTGCCAAATCTGACCACAGCTGGTCCCTGATGCAATAAAATGTTGAATCACCAGAATCTGAGAATGTGATTGTCTGGAGGGTCACCAAGAAAAATCAGCAAAGACTTGCTGGCAACTTGCAATGCATTTGCCAGTTCCAGGCTCCGTGGAAACCTGACCTGTCAAATTTCCTCCAAACAGGGCTCAGATGCTCGAATTTGCCAGTGGGGAAAAGCATTTCTGATAACGCTGCCCAACTTAAGCTTGCAAAGAAACCTCAAGTAGAGAGAGCCTCACGACGAATAAGGGTTTGTCTCACAAAATTCCCATGCCCCAAAGGGTTACAACCCACTCACCAAAAACCAAGAGCAAATGTGTGACAGAAAGGATGCATTGGGATACTGGGAGTAGCTCAGCATCCATGATGGCTCATGAGTAACCCATCAGCTCTGCCAGCCACTGGACTGGGTTTTTTCTGCTTCCCCTCCATCTGCCAGCTCAGCAAGACATCTCCACAGGGATCCACACATATCCTGAGACACCTTCAAACAGGCTTCCCTGTGACTGTAGCCCAACACAGTTTCCCTAAAGTACAGTTTCACAACCCCAACAGTTTTCCTAAAGTATAGGAGAACCTGAAGGCCTTCAGTCAGATCAGCTTCACTGGTTGCCCAGAAAAAAGCTGTGGCTGCCCCATCCTTGGAAGAGCTGGATGGGGCTTGGAGCAGCCTGGTGTCAGGGAAGGTGTCCCTGCCCAGGGAGCTGGCAGGGGATGGAACAGCGTGATCTGTAAGGTCCCTTCCAACCCAAACTATTCTGTGCTTTCTGTGGTTATTATGAATTCACTAGTTTTACACCCAATCAAGACCTGCCACAGTGAAAAACCCCTTCATTCTCACTCTAGTTGTCCTTAGGGTCACATTTTGTGGCGTTAGCACCATCGAGAACTACACATCAGTCTGGATCTGTCCTCCATCTGTCCTGCATCCTTATCTCGTGTGTTTTCAAGGAGCTCAGCAGAAATATATGGATCAAAGCTAATCGATAATACCAGAGCCCTTTCACCATATTGCTTTCACTACATTACTGCATCCTTTAAAAACAGAAATCTTAGCAGACCGCAGTACAATGCCAGACAGACTGTCACTTCCAAATTATGTTTATTTATTCTCTCTCTGCCTCTTGGCTGGCCCCATTACCAGCATATCTCAGTGTCTCTCAGCCATCAGCATATTTGCCTCCCCTCCCTTCCCCCTACCCCGAGGTACGTCTCCTCTCAAGTACAAAGTGGACTGACACGGCAAGTTTTTGAGCCTATTTAACACCAGCTTTATCTGAGGAGAACTGGATTCAGTGACAGAGCCTCAGAATTAATTACACGAAGGTGAATTCCTGTCACAGAGCCTGGCACAGTGTCACTGCAAACATTTTAACAGCCAGTCCCTGGCCCTCGACTGCCTTTGTGCAGTGTAAAGCAATTATTTGTACCTGCTTGGTGAAACGTGTCAGCCCCTTCAGAGGTGCTGCGACACAGCAAACACGCTTCAACCCTTGTTATTCACCAGGAAAAGGGTGTGTGGTGGATCTTGGCTCTGCACAAAGTCACTGCTGCTCGAGATCAAGCTCTTCAGGGATCTGAATGCAGCAGTTTGTGTATTATCCACATGAAGAATATCTTGCAGTTGAGGCCCAGTGATGTGGCCAAAAGCAGAAATGGGACTTGAGGCCAAGGAAACAAAAGTGCGAATCTCAAACAAGCACGTCCTTGCTGAGCCCCACCAGCAGGGAGGAATGGAAGACTGAACCCCCTCTTTCATCTCCCTTTTGTCAAGTATTTTCAGTCCTTTTCTCTCCCTTTTCACCTCCTGCATCCCAAGGGTACCCCTGGTGGAAACTGTTTTCCACCCTCACCCCAGGTCCAACTGCTAACCCTTGCTTCAGCTGTTACAGCTGACACATTCTTACCACATTCCTTCTTTATTCTCATTGGAAAAAAAGAAAAAAAAAAAAAAGGAGGACATGCTCTGAGGTTTTCTTTACATACCTTTATTACAAATTTGCACAGAGCTGAGCTGACACTGGGGTTAACCTGTAAAGTCCATTAGAGATCATCCTAGGAGACCAGAGGGAAAATAAGGAAAGTTGCATTACAGCCTGGAGCAAGGAAGGGAAACTGTTTATCCCTTCCACTGCAGCATCCTCCAGGGCAAGGAAGGAGGGATGGAGGGATGAGATGAGGTTTGTTACAGTGGAGAGCAAAGGGAATTGACTGCATAAAGGAGAGATTGGGGCACAGGGCAGAAACAAGCATTGGAGGGGACATCTCTGCCTTTCCTGGAGGAAAGGAACTGTCTGCACATCCCAAATTCTTCCTCCTTTGGGACTAGCAGAGACTGTGAGGCTCTTTTAAGATCAGAGGCAGATGAGATTTACCCAGAGCCTTTGGGGTTTAGTCAGAGCTCCTGGACCTCCCCACACTGAAGATCAGCTGTGGAGCACCTTGAGATCCCCTGGGGAAGAAGTGCTGAGGACCATATTGCTCCTGGGCAGAAGGTTCCTCTGCGGGGTGTGTGGTTGCCTCCCCATGCAGAGGGGATGAGCCATCAGGCCAGCCCCAAGAAAGGAAGTTTTCCAGCTGATGGGCAGGAAAATGGGGCTATTCTCAGTGACCTCCTCTGTGGTGCAGAAACAAAGTCCTTTCTCATGAGGGAGGAATTCAATGGGCCTCTCTGGGAATCAGCACCACAGCACGCAAAAGGTCAGGTCTTGTTCTGGAAGCCTTTTTTCCTTCTGCCAGCAGGAAAAATATTTTAAAATATCATCTAAAGAACCCTGTTCCCCTGTACTCCCTTCCAAATACAAAAAGGAGGAAATTGCCTCAATGTGGGGAGCAGTGCTGCGGTGGGGATGGCAAATCTCCCTGTCCAGCCCATGGGAGCCACATTCCCTTTGCACCTGACAGCTTTGTTATTAAAAGACCATGGCTAATTAAGAGGGGAAGGAACAATGGGAACATCCTATTCCCTCCGCAGGGCACAGTGCAGAGATTGCCACATCTCTGGAGACCCGGCCAGCATCAGCTGTCACGGTGTGGCTGTTTGATGTGAGACTTTCTTTGGGGAAATTCAGTCTGTTTGGTTGTCCCAGCTGCACCTCTGGGGTTGTCACTGGCCTGGCTCTGCCTGCTCCAATCAGTGTGAATTCTCCCAGGGCTCCACTAACCTACAGAAATGTGCTTTCCACTCTCATCTTGGGGTGAAGATACATGGAGTCTACTCTGGCACTCAGAGCCATGTCAACACGAAGGTTTCTCACTTTGATGACAAGTTGCCATCACTCAATTCTGCTTTTGTAGCCTCCGAAAAATCAGATTCCTCAAGACCCATGGAGGTCCATCTTCATGTCCCATAGCTTAGCACATCCAACCTTTGCTGAAATCATTTTGAGTCCATGTTACATGGGAAAACTGAAAGTGGTCTGCTGTCTATTGTAATCTTTTTCTGCCCGTCCCCTTTGATTCTCAAATTGTTTGTGAATATGAAATTCCACTTCTGTGACCGAGGCGAATTATTTGCTTAAGATAATTTATGGTTATTCCAAACTCATCATGTTGACTAGGTAGTCATTTATGGGTTTTCAAATGGACTTGTAGAGAGCTTTAGTCACATTGTCCAAAACCCAGGACCTGAACTGAAGGAGTTTTGTTTCAGCTCCCATCAGCTACAGAGGTCACAGTTAAGTAAAATCGGCTTAAGCTGGGATTGGAAAGCTGTGTCTGCTACATTAGCAGAGAGATCAGATGACAGATTTGGTCTGGCCTCATTATCTAGCCATAAAAATGTAAGGGCCTGAAGTATTTAGGGAGTAGGAATGCAGAGAGAGGAGGGATTTCTGGAGGATCTCTATGCAGTATTTGCTGTCTGGGAAAATGAGACCAAAGGACCCCCCCACCCGAACTGTCTGATGTGAGCTCTTATCTCCAACAACAAACTGAAAGCAGGAGAATCAGTCTCTTCCTTTTGCAAACAGTTCAGGGAACAGGGGCTCCTGTATGTCTACAACATCTTGCATTTATTTTTAGCTTCATCTGTTTGGTTAGTGAGGTCACTGGAGCCCAGGCTTAAACATGTTCCCCTGACCTGCCACAGCTCTGGCTTGCCTGTAGCTATACAGACCCCAAAGAAACAGAGCTAACATGCAAGAGAATTTTATGTCAGTATTTTATGCTAGACCTCGAATCACTGTGTCCTCATTTATTGCAATGCTTCTTCTTCGGGTATGAAAATTGCAAAACGCACTTTGAGCAGTTTTGATCCAAAAACCCCATTTGATGGGGCTATTTCCTGGCTGAGGTAACCCCCATGAATTTTCCAGTCATTCTGCATATAGGACTTAATTTACACAGTTCAAGGATTAAATCACAATTTACAGCCTTTGGTATGAGAACAAACAAACAAACATACAAACAAAAAAATCCAGCCTTCCTTCCCCCCAGAGTTGGGAAGCATTATCCAAATCACTGCTAGGAAATAAATGTCAGGGTACCTGGAGCCAGCACCTTCCATCATTTCCATCCTCATCTAAGCTAGGAAATTACTTTGTGGGGGAAAACTTTCTCATGGAGCTGCAGTGGAATTAGCAAATAATGCTTTTTGGAGTGATAGCTTGTCCTGCAAATGCAATAAATTCCCGATGGAGTCCTCAAGCCCAGGGCTGGAAGCATGCCAGGACAGAGGTGCTGGAGAGCAGGCAAAATTCATCACTGCTCCACAAGTGAGGTGAATCTGAGGAGCCTGCAGGAAACCCAGCAGGTGAGAGGGGAGGTAGCACAGCCCTGGGTCTTACAGGGTGAACTCTTGTCCTGACAAGCTCTTTGAGTGCTCTGCTGGGAACCACGAGCACACTGGCTTAAACCTTGCCTCCACAGCTCCTGCTCAGAGAAAAGATGTCCCCCAAGGAGAAAAACACCTCCAGAAGTGTGCATCTATCTTTATTTTCACTCCTTGAGTCATTCTGGGAAAAGCCCTTTTCTAAATGCTGACATAACCTTCTCTTCCCTAGGGAAATATTCATGTAGCTGCAGGTGACTGAATTAGGGAAGCTCAGAAAAACTTCCTGTTAAAATAAGCCACAGGGACTGCCCATGTGCAGATTTTAGAGCTCCTGCAAATGCAAAACAGAATGTCCCTGCAGGGTGACTGGAGCTAATGTGCTTTGCTTTACATTTGCATTTGGCTCAGAGTAGCACAAAGGCTTCTTGCTGGGGCAAAAGTGATAAAGAATTAAGCTCCTATTACTCAGCTGCTTGCAAGTATTTGCTGTATCTCTGGTGGAAAAAATGTTGCAGAAAAAAACATGCCTTTTCCTCATATGCAACCAGAAAATGCTAAAGATTTGGTTCAGCTCTCCTCCTCTCTGCTCGGTGTGTCTGGAGTTGACACACCAAGAAGAAATTCCCACTTTTCTATTATCAGAATAATGAATATTTCTGCAATCACATTATTTATCTAGAGAAGGCATGATCACTGCCATAGCAGATTATATGAATCAAGGTACTTAACTCTAGAAAATGACATTTTGTTGACTTTCATTAAGACCTTCTGTTTTGTTTTTTTTTTAATTGTTTCTGTCTCCTATCCTAAATTTTAAGAAATATCACCTCCTTTCCAGAATGCCAAGAGAATGACTTATCATGGAGTCACAGAATCACTGAATGGTTTGGGTTTGAAGGGGCCTTAAAGATCTTCTCATTCCAACCCTCTGCCATGGGCAGGGACCCCTTCCACTAGTTCAGGATACTTAGAATCCCATCCAAGCTGGCTTTGAACACTTCCAGGGATTAAGCCTTATTAGGGGTGCAGATATGGATATCCCCATGGATCCACTACCTATTTGCTAAACACTGGTCAAAACTTCAGATAATTTGTGATCTGTTTAATTGTTGAAAAGTTTTATTAATCAGATTAGTCAGTGGGTGACAACATAAATAGCACGTACACGATGGGAAATTGTTCAGGAGAACTCACTGTAAACTGCTTGGAGACCTGTGCTGTGGAAAAGAAGTCATTTAAGATTTCCAGCCACACAGACCTGAGTATCCAGGCTCATTCTGAGTTGTTTGAAAATGGGCAGGAAAAAAAATAGAAGAAAATCCCCTGATAATTCATCTGTGGAGGCTAATTTACTTGGTCTAATCAGAGCAAACATCTCTATGGCTGGAATGCTGAAATAAATTAAATATAAAGCCTTCAAGGTCATAGCTTCCCAAGCTAATAACACAGCACTGCTGTGCTCAGGTGGAGATGCTCTGTGCTCCACTGTGAAAAATCTCTATCAGCTGGATGGAATGGGAATATTTCAAGCAGTGATCAGACCTGCCTGAAAGAAAATGGAGTGAAGAGAGGATATAGAGGATTCAATCTTCAGACTTGAGCAGCTCAATAAAAGAAGTTTAGACACTCAGATTGGAAATAAAATACCTAAAAAAATACATTTACATTTGGGGTGGGGGAGAGGTAGTGAGGAGAGTTTGGAGAATGCTGCTAGCAAGTGTAAGCTGTAAGATGCAAATCTTGCTGTTCTGCTTCCAAATGCTGATGCAGAAGCAATTAGATTTTTTTATTATTATTATTACACATATTATTATAATTATATATTTCAGGAGTGGCCATGTTACACATCCCAACTCCTGCAGGGACCATCCCCCTGGATCAGAGGTTTATAACCCTCAGGCAGCCCCAGGTGCCCCATCCAGCTGACCAGAGGTTACCACCCCACCAGATGTGCAGCACAGCCATTTCTCTGCCTTTCCAATCCCAGCCCTGAAGAAATGGGGCTGCAGGAACAACAAATATCACTTTAACATGGAGCAGGTCTCAGCTAAAGGCAGCCAGGAGGAGATGGATCAGGCAGGGGCAGACGAGGCAGGAAGCAGTGAGACCCCAGACATGGGCACACAGCAGTGCAGGAGGGTCTCCTGGCCCATGT